AGCATTCATGCAGCTGTCTGGTGTAGACCTACTGGAAAATTTGACAGCGGTAACTATGGGGCTAAAGCCCCTTCCTCGATAAATCATTAAATGAATTACTTTCAAGAGTGGATTATTTTGTACTTTCGCATATGCAATTGCTAAGCGAAATGTTTTTTACAACTTTATCATAAATAGTAAATGATATCGTAGCCTTCGTAGGCTCCCATTCCGTGGGGGCGCGGACCCCTCCGCCCCCTCCAATAAAAATTTAGGGTCCAGCTTCCCCCCCCCCTCTAAATAGACCTAATAATGAAGTGAAACCTTTGGAAAACTGCGTTCTTTGGAAAATCAGTTATATTAAGACGATACACAATGTTGAGCCATCGTCACAAAAATGTCTGATACTGTTGAATTTCTTGAATGGCAGAACCAGATTTTTCGAAAGAATTTCTCCACAGAAAATGGGTTTATTTCAGGCACGCCATTGAAAAGGACTCCGTGCTCTGCCGTTTGTAGTTTCCTTTTTTTCACTTCTCCAATAGACCTAGAAAGGAAAGACGGAAGATTGTTCAAAAGCACAACAGAAATATTCTTACCGTCTAGATACCCATATTTACTACTTAGATTTTTTAAATTTCTAAATATTTTAACGAAAAGCGAAGAAATGCTTGTTCTTCCTCATGATTCCGATATTCACAATCAATAGACATTCATTAGATTTAAATAATTTTTTTCCTTAATTGTTCAAAACTTATAGTTCCCATGATTTTAGTTATTTGCGCAATGAAGTTAAAATTTGTTTTTAAATTCACTTTTTGGTGAAATTTTGCTGAATGATGCTGTAGTACGAATGGTAAGGTGGTGGTGTGTTCGCTTGTCGCCGCGCTGATCGCTAGATTCGCTGACAACAATACGACGTCCCCCTCCCGTATTTTCTTCAAGACTGCCTGAAAGAGGGATGGGTGATTTAAACGCGATTAGTACAACAATCGATTATTTTTTCCGATTTTTAGCTCGATTATTTTAATTCAAATATTAATTTCCAAACCTAGAAAAATATAATTAATTTCTACTTTTGAACTTAAGTAACGAAATTCCTCGTCTGTTCATCTCTCTCCAACTGCAAAATATAATAGAGACAAACATACGCCTTTAATTTCATGTTAGTAAAACTAAGAAAATACATAGTTTTCATTTTATAAGATTTTAGGGGTAGTATTATATTCAGTATGGAAGTTTTCTAGAATCATCACAAACAAGTACATCGTTAGGTTAAAATTATTGGTGTTACTGTTTCTATAAAATATTAATTCATTAGAATATAACATTGGTTATCTCTTAACTTGGTTTATTCCAAACTTTCATCTTGCAGGCTATTATTGAATGGCCATTTTCATTTTAACTGAGTTACAGTCGTTTCTCTTAAGAACATGTGTGGAATATTATTTAAATAAAGAATCTCACATTTAGTTGATGAAAGCGTAACCACCAAAATAAGTTTTTTTCCCGAAATTTAATAAAAAAATTTCGTCGGCTTAATCTGTGTGTTTGTTCTGGCAAAGACATTGGTTGACAAAATTTTCTCTTGTTACTCCGTGCGTTGTATTGCCAGTGGGTTTCATACTCGTATCCATTCCAAACGGATGCTCCAAGGTCTCTACATGCGCCGTCAGCTTAGTGCGGTGATAAAGGTCAATGCCCCGTTGCCTGCACTCTGCGTCGTGGAGGGAAACTCTGCCGGCCTGGAGGGAGGTGGATTTCGTAATCAGATGCAGTCGTTGCTCCGTGTACGTGATTTCAGTCAGCTAGCTTGCTGCAGTTGTATGTCCTTGATTGTATTTGCCAGTACGTGCGTGATCATTCCTGTAATTCTGACGACGAACAGCCCCTCCTGAGGAAGTCATCGGGGTAGTGACAGTTTTATAAATTGCGGATAGCAAATGATAACTTACCAAGTTAGCACAGAAATGTTATTTTAGAGTATTAAAAAAGTATAAGTAATGATCTACTTTAACCGAAGGTGATCACTTATTATCCTGAGAGATCTTAATTAAAAGGAAACGTCATAATATAAAAATTACTTCGACAATCATCTCTTATGAGTTGGAATATAGTTAGCAGCAGGTTGTCGCCATGTAAGAAATTCAATTTAGCGCGATCACGTGTCTGACTTAGTGAGCCACGGATGTCATATGACGACTCTCTAATTCTAATGGAAAGGAGTTTTCCGCTCTCACTTAAGCATAACGTTGAAGTTCGCGCATACACAGTAGGGATGGACGATTATTAAATAATAATCGATTAACATCTAATTGACGATTTTTTAAATTAAATTAATATGCATTGTCGTATCGTTAGAATTAATCGATTAATTTTTTACATATTTAAAATAATGCCTAAAATCGTTAATTGATAATTTGTCTATTTAATCTTTTTAATTAATGTTTATTCTTTATTAAAATATTCAATCCACACACGGGCTCACACGGGAAACGACTGTAACTCAGTTTATAATAAAAATTGTAGAATTTCTAGAAAAAGTGACACCAATATTTGTAACCTAACGAAGGACTTGGCCTAACATGGTTGTAAGAAAACTGATAATTCTTTCTTATATCATACTGAATGTAATACCATCACTAAAATATTGTAACATACGTAGTGTTTCATTTTAATAGTTTTATTTACATGAAATTAATGGCGTATGTTTTTCTCTATTTTCCATTTCGAGAGATGGACTGACGTTAATTCCGCTACTAAAGTTCAAAAGTAGAGATGTACATTTATATTTTGCTAGTCTAAAAAATTATATGAATCGAACTAAAAATCGGTAAAATTCATGTGTATATTAATCGGTGTAAAAATAATAGTTGTACTAATCGCGATAGAATCGCCCATCCCTAATACACAATGCACAAAAGTGGAATAATAGCTTACTTCAAGGCTAAACGTGCAAAACTTTCTTGCAAATGAACCTACCGCTTATCAAATGGTATCATTTCAAAGTGGCACGATCAGAGTTCAGTGATATTGTCAGTCATGTTCTTAGTTTATATGATAAATTCTTGCTTACATTAGAATCCTATTTGGGTGAGGAATATTGATGAATCGCTATTTATGTTCTTTAGAGTTTAATACTAGAAAACACATGAATGTTCCCACGGTGCCTTCACACTCGTCGCTAGTTCCCACGGCGTCTTTTCATAATCATTTGAAAAATACATTCAGGCGCAGTTTATTGCCCTAACCGTCCTCTTCTTTACGTACATTAAACATATACTTATGCAACGCCCACGTTTTTCATTTAGCTTCTATAGTTTTTTCGATTTTAAATTATGCGTAACTATATATGTTCAAAAGTGTTCCATTATTGTGCTCGTTCCCAGTGCAGTGCCCGGGTCATACGCCCGTCTACCCCCGTCAAGTTGCGTACATGTCATTAGATGTTTTAATTTCATATTCTCATGTCCCACATTTGTGCCACTTTATTTTACTTTGTCATGTGTAACGTCGAAGTAATTTTCTCCTAACATGTTTGCATTGTACATCTCGAACGAGTATACTAGAATGACCATTTTCGGTGCCAATCCCGGATGCAGTGTGGATTTGTTTACAATAACTTCTAAAACATTTTAATGGTAGTAAATTTTAATTAGTTGAACATGGACTAGTAGTGCTGTTCTTTTTCAAATGGTGGGACGCGCGTAAAATCAAAACACTGCAAATGGCATAAATCTCAAGACGGTCTGCAGAACAGCGTTGCCAGTTGTTAGCAGAAAACTAATTACTTCAGCTGTGGCACTCCTCGGGTGTCAACCCCCGACAGTACACATCAGACGCACGTTTGAATCCCGGACAAATGGCTAATCCTGGACGTGTGGCTAATCATGGCCGTATAGTATGGCTAATTCTAGACCGAGGCAAAACCTCCCAGAATGCATTTAAGTTCAAGACAATGGTTCGCATTTTACGAACAAGAAAGTTATGTATTATCTACAACACAAATTATGTTAATGTGTTCGTTATTTTTGCTTCGCTTACTTGTTTGCGATCTTTCGAATTTAGTTAGCGTGTTATTTCAAATGGAACTTCTGTTATTCAGCTTTTTTTTTAATCGAACAGAGGAAAACATTTTGTTTCTCGTATGCACTCCCACTCGGCAAATGGAGTGTCGATGAGCGACGCACTTTCCCTCCTCACTCAGAAAGCAGGTCGCGCAGCTTTCTGGTGCTGGAAAGGAGGCCAGGCTCAACAGATGCATATTTCAGAAGCGCAGTTGGATACTGATATTCGCGTTTTTAATAGTTTTGTTTGTTTTGTGGCTGCCTGCATCCTCTTCCTGGTCGCGCGATTTCCTTTTGCTGCGTTGCTTGAGTCCGTCGCGTCCTTGCAGCTGCCGTTGTTGCTAGAGGCCGCCGCGCGGATGATGCGTTGGGCCTCGAGATTGCGTGATACGAATGGAGATAAAAAAAACTGGCGGTGTGCATGCTTTTCTTATCAGCCATTAAATATCGAGATGTTCGAGGTTTTACTGGAGCATGCGGTATTAACACTCCAATGTAATGAAACTATTTTATTGTATATAGGGCCACAACTTGTTTGAAATGTAAAAAATGTGAACTACGCTTATTAAAGTAATTTTGTATATATCAGACAAAGTTTTGCTAGAGTGCATGGAGGTACAAAAAATGGAATCCCAGCTTAGTCTTGCTAAAATTGAGTACTCAAATTGACAAAATAGGCGCAAAAGAAATATTGGTTCTAGAGCTTTGACATGAACAACTAGAATTGTCACACTCATTGCTCTTTCAATTAAGTCGGAGAAATTGCTGGAGAATGTTTTTTTCGAATGTCAGGTGTATGAATTAGAAGTTTCAAAAAGTATTGGTGTAGATATGTCCTTTTGTATGTTTGTCGAAAACTTCAATAGAGAACGAGAGACCTAGGGTTAGCTGACATAGCTGTAAAGCTAATCCACAGGCGTGTTGTACAAATGGAGAGTATCTCGGTTCCCTGAGATGAAAGACGTGTGCAGGTAAGCTGTCCGTCACTGGACGAACGTTAGCAACTCGGCTCAGCCGGGTAGCCTCCCGGATTTCAGTGAACTTCGCTGGCGCGGCGCACGCTGGGTCGCGAGAATTGGCTCTCGTTCTCCTTGCCGGCCATCCTCCGCTCGTTCTCCTCCTCTCTCTATTCTCTCTTCCTGGGCGTTGCCACCCTTCCCCTGGCCGTGCCCGGGCTGCCCCCCCACGCCACCCACCCACCCACCCAACCGCTGTGGCGTGACGCCCTCGCCCCTTTCGCCCCGCGCCTAGCGCCTATCCTTACGGATGCTGTGGCGCTGTGTGCTAAGCGACCGGCGGCGCAGGGCCCGACGCAGCCTGTTTTTTCCACGCGGCCGCCTTTATTGACGACCACCATGTGCTGTCGCCTCGCGGACGCTTGCTCACGTGACGGAGGAGCGCTAACAGAGCTAGTGTACGCTGTCTTGGCCGGTGCATCGCGCGAATAAAATTACAGGTGCAAATCCAAGACGCACGTGCAAACTGACCTCGCGTTTGCGGGAATGCTGCCCATACTTTCATTACTATGCTGTCTCCATACTGCCATTACTGTTATTTTGAATTTGGGACAAGAATGGGATTTTATAGTGCCCTCATTACAATAAGACTGAGACAACCCGCAAGGATTATAAGAAAGATATTTTTAAGGAATATATGCTTGGTTGTAGAATTTTTATTAAACTCTGTTGAAATGTTTGTATACATTGAGAGCAAGGGATCCAAAGCGTCACAATTCAATATCGTTGCCTTCTTAAAGATCCCATCTCCTCTCCTTTTTTCATGGTAGACGTAGTAGAGATGGCATATTTTACCAAACATTGATACATCGAGTTTTAAATACGATTATGCAGGTGATATAGTTTAATGGCTATGAGTAGCTAATTACAGTTTGTTTTGGTCACGTATAATAAACTGCGTTATTGTTTTATCGAATGGAAAGAAGGAAATAAATGAACATAGTATTTTATATTCTCCATTTGTTCTCTATATCATTTTAAATACATCCGAAGTAAAACGTCCAGATCGAATGTGACACATAGTACGTAAAATATTAATTTTAAACTGTATTGTGTTAAAATCACTGTCATCTTGATTTTTAATTAAGATTTCTACATTGCGAAGGTTGAAATATCTGTTGTAGCGATTACTTCTAGTTACAAAATCATCGAAAAAGGTAAATATAATTATTAAAGCCATGCGCACATAATAAAGCGTTTGAAATGATTTTGGCCTAAGTTCATTTTTGTGATTTTCTATTCTTTAATATACCTTCACCTGTGTTGAATATTAAAGAAAACGCATTGCTTGCTCAAAGTGACCCAAACTTTCATTCAAAAAGTTTCGTCAGTCCAAGCATTTTTCATTATTCTAAATGCATTTAAAAACCAGGACCGATGGCACATATTGGAAACAATTTGTATAAATATTTCGAGCCGATTCTGATTGCAAGAAGTCTGCTCTAATCGTAATATAAAAACTAGTCCTAAAAACAACAAATTCTCCCTTCATAAATAATGTATTTACTTTTAGGAAGGTATGGTTGCATGTTCTCTATCTTAATTTTTTTAACTACTAAAGTCCCCGTGATCATTTTATACGTGTAGAAAATATGTTTTGGGTTTACCATAGTAGAGTTGTGGCACGATTTCTTTCCGAATGAAGTCAGATGTGGTTCGCTGTAAGCTACTCTCTCTCTCTCTCTTTCTCTCTTTCTCTTCTTTTTTTTTTTAACTGTTTCGGTTTAGCTCTGCTCATCTTAGGTTATCTACAGCAAATATTGAACCAGTTTATTCAGTTTCGTAAATCGTTTACTTTTCGCATGAAAATAATATATACCTTCTTACAATTATGAAGTAAGACATCTTGAACCCCCTCCCCCCCCCCCCCCCCCAAAAAAAGAAATTACCATAAAGAAATATCTCCCTCATCCTCCCCATCCCCCCCCAATTTACCTATAAAAGGAAAGAAACATCCAAATTAAATTCCGTAATCTGGCAACACCAGAGACACGTCGGGAACAGTAAAAGTTTCCTGCCGTCTAGGTATCGACAACAGTGATAGATTTGAGTGTTTTTTGTTTTCAGCTATTCACAAAATAAAAAGTTACTGGAAATTTTATATCTCGAAAAAAATTTTAACACTTAAACGTCGATGTTTTGGAAAAAATATTCCGTAATGGAGAAAACGTCGAATACAAAACATCGATTTTTCTGGACAAAAATATCGGATGTTTTTTGCCATTCCTAAACGTAGTAATTACTAGCTTCAGTTTTTCTTACTTTCGGAACACTGACCTCGTACCAGAAATATAAAGTTCTCAATGCATGCGCGTCCTTTGATTTGAAAGGGCACTCTGTATTTGTTCAGAGAACATGCGATTCCCGTCTTGCGGGATATGCTGTGCGCTGCAAACAGATTCGACGGATTATCTAGCTGCCCAAATAACCTGGGCCTCGCTATTAATGAAGAATTATTATTTATTGACGTATAGGCCATTACTGACCATGCTACACGATTAACGTGTAATTTTTCCAGGATCATCTTTTCAGCTGTATCCTTCAGTACTAGGTTTTTACGCCTTGAAGTGTGAATTATGAGATAGTATGATGAGGAGGAGGATGGGTGAAGTGACGATCACAAATACGACCATGTCTACTCAGGACTCGAACCTGCTGCCGCAACCGTATGCTCCATTGGGCTGACATTATTATTATTATTATTATTATTATTATTATTATTATTATTATTATTGATGATGAATTTCTAAAAAAAAACCCTCGGTTAATACGAATTTAGCACCATGAGGGCAAGGCTGTTGCGATACAAGGGCGTGTTTAAGTTTTGGTTTCATTTCGATGTTATCTGGGTGCTTAACGCCCCACCTCATTTCACCCTTTTCTCCGGGTATCTGAAGAGTGTTAAGCACTCTCGAAACGTCGAAATAAATTGAAATGAACAAATAAACTTAACATCCTGGTGCCGTTATTGACTTTCCTTCTATAGTACGCAATAAAATTTTATATTTTATTAAAATAATTTTTATAATGTGTGGAGTTCCTTTCAAATAGCCATCATAATACTTACGCGCGATGGCGTCAATGATGCCAAATGTGACATTTCCGCCACAACTAGTGTGAAATTGAGGTGCCTAAACTATTGGAGTTCATGTGAATATGACCTCTGAGGGGCTGCTGCTTTGCAGATGAAAATTTGTTTTTCTGATTGAGAAACTTTACGGAGGAACTGGTCCTTTGTGTTTTCGGGCATTCACCTACCTCATTCCGACACCAATGTCGAATATCAGGAAGTCGAAGTGGCAACGTGGTGCCTAATGGAGGCCACTCGAATGAGTTGTGGACTGTGTGAGGACGTTAACTTTCAAATGATGATCAGCCATCGCACAAGTTCAGCTAAAATTTGTGATGGCAATTCCGTTCATCTTTATGGTAAAGTAATCTTTTGTTTGGAAATTGTTTACTTCCCAAGTTATGTTCTATTACTTTTGTGTTATAAAAGAGTAAAAGGAAATTCACAAAGGTTTAAAAAACGCGTTTAACGATTTTCTCCCTTCAACAATTTTCCTTCATTTTTCTAAAATGAAATACTATTATGCAAATAAATGGAATTTAGCCAGTAGTGTAGATTTACAAGGCTCCAATTAAACCATAAAAGATTTCTTATGTGTATCAAGATACCGCTCCACGTGCAAGTACTCTATATTTCCTCATGGACGTACGTACGATGAACGGTGTTTGAACGAGCGTTTAGTTTGCTCGGCAGATTTAGCCACCTCATTGCCGGGAGTTGGCGAGGCCACTTGTTTGGATCGTTTGGCCCCGATCCACAGCCGGTTTGCCAATATTAGCTGCGAATCTCCGCAGTTGTCCCTTGTTCAACTACCTTGATTTCTTTTATTCAAAATAGCCACTTGGCAAAAGTAGCTCGGATGCTGAAGTTTTAATAAAACTTGCAGTAGGCAGCGGATTTGGAATTTAATTTCAGTTTTAAAAACTGGTTAAAATATATTAAATATTTTTATTTTTTTATTGGGATATCTTTATTTTAATTTAATGGACATAAGCTAATTTTAATCTATCGAGTAATCTAATCTAAATTCATTCAATACTGTCGAATACATAGGGATAATTATATGGACTTATAACTCACTTCCTACTTAAGCTAGGAAGGCAGTGGGACTCTTTCTTCTTTTCTTTTCTTTCCAAAATGTTCTGCTCTACGGAACATTCAAGTCACGTCAATGGCCTCGTGTACCCTGCATAGAATTATAATTATTGTGGCCGTTGGCGGGTTTGTTTCTCTGTTAAACAGATCATTGAATGCCATGCCTGTCCCGCCAACTCTTCTCAACGAAATATAGAAATATCTAAGCTCTTGCATCTTGATTTAAAATAGTTCAACACGTTACGATACACTCTCCCCCTCCCTCTTCTTCCTCGTGCACGATTGTGGCAAATGCCTAGAGGCCACGCCGGTTTTAATTAATATAATGTTCGAAAAGAATCTAGTTTTTTATACGAACAATAAAAAAACTACGCAAAGTAAATTAAAGAAATGTCTGTTTTATGAACGAAAATTGCTTATTAGGTTCATTTTAACTCATAGGTCCCTATTTTTTGTTGGACCTTGTCTTAGTCTTTAAGTCCTCAGACTTTTGTTTCTATGCCACAGTAGAACAAATGATAAAAAGTTAGAGTAGCCTAAAATGTGAAACATAGAGATTATGTAGGTTACGTTGAGCCATATACAAATGATATGGTAAATTATAAACCTCAGCTGCAAATTTCACTTGAAGGGGAATATTTTATATCAGGTGTTGGTGAATATTTTCATATACAGTGAAGCCAACCAAAACCACCAGTTTAATTAAGCTGTCACCATCACAAAAGTTATTTTTTGGTGGAATCGATTAATTTTTCCTTATGTCACGTAAATATTTTTTTTTAGCGGACAC